TCTCTGTTGGAAATGCGAACACGCGGATGAATGATCCTAAGCTGGATAAATAATGGTTAAATGAAAATAAATATATATAGTCACTGTTTGTTCCTACATATTGTAATTAGGTGTAGAATAGTTCATCATACCATCTGCCTTCAACTGTCTTTTGTTTAAAATATTTAATAATTTTCCAACAGCATTTGTCCACATGTGAAACTCCCTCTGCTTTGTGTTTGTATTGTGAAAATCCACTTGAATCATTACCTCAGTTATCTTTGTTGACTCTATCACTTTTATATGTTTTGTTCTCAGCCACCTACACTGGCAAAAGCATTGAAACTGCCTGTTCCCACGAGATTTGCATCAGGTCCCACAGGACTTGAAGAATCTCAGTCCCACCACAGTCCTCTACACTTTATCGTACCTGCATGAAAGTCAACTCCCACTGCAAACAGGGTTCCCGTGATGGGCATCAGGGCTTCACTGTTGTCATTTGGGTCAAGAGCGATTCCTCGGATTCCCTCATGGATGGAATAGAGCAGGAATGAGTCAACACCTATAGACCAACAGAGTGTCCATTTACACTTTCTTATTATCATTAGACACAATGATAATGAGAAACCTTTGTCAACACTCAGCAAAAAAAATATTTTTTTTGTTCAACCAAAACCTCATACTATGCAGATATGAGAATAAGGTGCATTATTACCCTCACAAGATGTGCGATCACTTCGTAGATTGTAGCCAACAGTACAAGAGCAGCTGCGGGTGTTCTCTGAGGTTGGGAGACAAAGCTGTGCGCATCCTCCATTGTTCACATGGCATGGGTTTCTTCCTGAATGTTAAGCACAACTAGTAAAGATAAATAAAACTGCAAGGTCATTGGTTGACTTTTTTTCCATTCCTCGCTATGTGCTTGCTTACCTTTTTGACCCTCCTTGTCATACACCTTCATGTGAACCACCCCACTTGTCTTGTTTCTCAGAACCGCAAAATTGCGTCCATCTCGCTTGGTGACTGTTCCCAGCTGTGCCGTTTCATCGTCTGCCCACCAGAGTTTGCCACCTGTAAATGTCAATGTTATTATTTTGGTGCACAAATGTAAATGATGATATTCATTAAAAAGTGCACGAATCACATTGCGTTAAACATTCTAATAGAATAGAGAAATGTGAACGTGACATGGTTCACCTTGCACTCAAATTCCCTAAGGTTGGCTATATTTGAAGAAAAATTGCTTCATATTAGATGCAATTCCATTTTTTTGATGAATTCCCTGCTTTATGTATGTGCTGCTAATGACATGAGCATCTTTCATCTTTAAATTATATCTGTAACAGCTTAAGAAAATGTTTTCTTACTAAAGCTTTTTCCAAGAACTTTATCAAAAAGAAGCACCTAAATTATGTTAAGAAATTCAGAGAACTGTGGTTTTCGACCAACATTTACAAACTGTTGCTGCTGGTACCGGACAACTGAGAACATCTTGTACAGTTATTATGCGTCGTAATGTTTTAACATCCACATGCTTTCTGGCTTTGTGTGACAGAAGGCAAAGCCCTCCAGGCTTCAGCAGTGCCTACATCAGGAGTATAAGTGATCAGTATGACTCTGTAAACACTCAGACACATGCTCAATGGACTCCTGATCCCAGATTACCAAGCCCACCACTATCATATCATACTGCAATTGCCACCTATTTCCTTAGGACAGATCTGACATGACATGAACTCTCAATGTAAGGCATAAACTGAAGAAAACCATGCGTGCGTGCGTGCGTACATGCATAAAACTAAAATTTCACACAGGTTTGTAGATACATTAAAAAATACTTTGTTAAATAAATACCATCCATCCATCCATCCATTTTCTTTACCCGCTTATTCCATTTTGGGTCACGGGGGTCGCTGGTGCCCATGTCCAGCAATCACTGTGCGAGGGGCGGGGTACACCCTGGACGGGTCGCAAGTCCATCACAGGGCCACATAGAGACAAACGAGACAAACAACCATTCACTCTCTCACTCACACCTAGGGACAATTTTGAGTTACCCATCAGCCTAACATGCATGTTTTTGGACTGTGGGAGGAAACCGGAGTACCCGGAGAAAACCCACGCATGCACGGAGAGAACATGCAAACTCCACCCAGAAAGGCCCCTGGACCGGGGTTTGAACCAGGGACCTGCTCACTGAGAGGCAGCAGCTCTACCAGTTGCGCCACCGTGCTGCCTTAAATAAATACAATTCATTAAATGATAAACATGACACATTCAAGTGCATTTCATTTAACATTTGACTCAGATTCAACTGTTCTATGCAGCACCTCCCCTACACAACAAGCTTCAGAAAGATGTTGTTGAGGGACATGTTCAATACAACTGAATTGATTGCATTTTATTTTGCAGTGAAACCATGAATTGCAAAAATAATAATAATAATAAAACAAAAATACTTTTTTTTTTTTTTCTCCCTTTAGATCACACATAATTTCCATGTAAACTTACAGGTAAGTTTATAACTTTATACTTCTTTTGGAATTTTGATTTATTACAAAAAATAGCAAATCAGTCAGAAATACCCCCCCCCCCCCCCCCCACACACACACACACACACATAAAATAAAACAAAAACAGTTCTTGTTTTAATAGCTTTACTAATTCCATTCCTAAAGGAAATGTAAAATACATTTCCACAAATCAGACAAGCACGAACAAAGGAAGGTGACAGTCTACATGAAGTTTACAAAAAAATGACGCCCCATAGGCCATGCTGGCTGAGATTAGCTTTGCACCTTGTGTTAATTTGATGCCATAGGGACAACTCGGAAGATGTGATTGCCCGCTTGTGGTGCATCATATTCAATTTCCACTTCAACGGCTTGTTTGATCAAAGACAAGTCAAGGCTGATGGATTGCTCGCACCTTTCCAAATGGAAGCCCTCAAGGCAATCTAATTATTATAGAGCCTAAAAACCTGCATGGGCTGACCTTGGGTGCTCCAGGAGTGTCATAATTACACCATTTCACAACCAGCATGAGCCACCAATAAGACGCGCATGTAAAATGAAAAGTCAAAAGGAAGCACAAGGACCTAATCAAAACTAAATGTTTAATAACATGCATTAGGGGAGTGGTGGCGCAGAGGTTAGAGAGGTGGGCTTGTGATCCGAAGATCGCCGGTTCACGCCCCGGCCCCGACAACATCAAAAATTGTGGGTGGGGTAGGTGAAACACCCACACTTGCCCCCACCCTCATTCGCCCCACTCTGGGCCCATGAGCAAGGCCCTTAACCCCCACCATGTGCTCCCTAAAAAAACAGGTCTCTCTTGAAAATGAGTTCTCGTGGCTCAATGAGACTAACCTGGATAAATAAAGGTTAAATGAAAAAAAATAATAATAAGTGGGGAAAAAAATCAAAAATGCACAATTGCAGAGTTGTCTTATTTTAGTTGACAGCTATAAATTTACCAAGAATAAAAAAAAAAAAAAAAAGGTTTATAGTAACCTGGACTCTTTAAATAAATGTAATCAATCAAACTTTTAAATATTAGAAGATACAAATGAAAATATTGTTTTCACACCTAATATTGATGTCACTACTGAAGTCTCAGCAGCCAAACTCAGCACATCATAATCATTCTCTGTCAGAGCCCAGTTAGCCATGTTGCATTATATTGCATTGACATAACACTAGTTTTAATGTGCACTATATTCATCAGTTATTCAGTGTGCATAACTTCCTTATGTTTCTACATGCTTAAAATTGAACATTGATTGTGATTGATGAAAGCCCGTGGACATCATTCTGCTGTTTTGCTGTATCTGCTCCTGTGAAGGAACCACGCCATTAGTCTGTGTCAGCTCACAGTCTGCCTCTGACTAGTGAAATGCAATAATGAAATCCTGAAAGTACAACGGCTAGAAATACTTATAAAGATGAACAAAAAAAAATGTTTTGATTTTTTTTCAAATGCAGATTACTACCAGCTAATAACACAGTGGAATTTAATTCTGCCATCCTGCTTCTCTGGAATGTTGTAATTAATACACTCTGCTCATACTGACACAACACAGGAAGCAAAGACTTGTCAAGAATAATAGCATGCTTATGAAGACACTCTTTTTTACAGACCGAGGGAGTGAGATTAGGGGTGTGTGTAAAATTTTTAATGTTCTGAATTCCACAATGTTGCAGTTTTGTGAATTGGGAAATCTCCCGGTGAGATGAGATTGTCAAGACATGCTGCAAGACATGTAGAGGAGGTCATGAGTGTGCATACATGGAGTGCATAGAAAAGCAGCCATATTAAAAATTACTTGTGAAAAATGCAAAAGTGTAAACTTGTATTTTTTAAATTATTTTGCATTTATGTCAGTAAATCTGTCAGGTCTTGGTGTTTTACTTTTTTCTGTAAAAGTGCATGCTGTATACATGGAAATGGTAATGAACTGAAAACAAAAATTTAAAACAAATCCTTATGATTGTGCACAGACAGGTTGAACACACCTGTAATATAACAGCATCCCTTTAGTGTTTTATTTCAACAGTATAATTAGCTCTCCTTGTGACAACTATGCACTATGTGTGCAGAAATGGACAGTATCTTATGTGCTGGTGGACCATACTTTCTGAGAAGCATGAATTTCTGATAAATAAATAAATTATGTTTGTTATTTTAGACTGGTCAACAGGAGTCATCTTTACACAGCAGGACTGAGATGGTATGAGCAGTCATCTACTGAACAGATGAATAAAATTGATATGGTGTAATGATTTTTATTTCAGTTTCAGTCTTCTTGTCAGATTCAGAGCTTGACAGTGTTTAAAAAAAACTTTTTTTTTTTTTAGGGGGTGCTTCCTCAGACCAAATCGAGTTCTGCACACTCAAAAAAAATAAAGTTTTATGTCTAACCAAGTGTTGGATAAATTACTTACCCTTTCATCATCTCATTAATCAAATAAGCCACTCGAAGGATGCAACAATATATTTTCAACACACTTTAACTTGCAAGCGGCATAGAATTGAAAACAGGCTTACGCAGATGTTACATGAAGCTCCGGTCACAAGTTCTGCCCACAGACAGGATAAATAAGCGTCTATTTATAAGCTTATCAGGCAGAGGTGTGGTCAAAACAACTCTGCTTTCCATTAGAGGCTTTGAAGTTTATTAGGTGTGCAGGCTCCTCCCTGTTTAGACAAAACAACTCTAACTCACACACATGGTTCTACATTCATTTAACATTAGTATGTGATAACATCCATGACCTTTACATAATTTCCCATGACACCCAGATATTGCGTTCACATAACTGCTGTCCATTGAACTGTGTATTTGAATTTTGTGTGGCCAGTTTTTTTGAACATCCCAGCCTTTTTTTTGTGTGTGTGCATGGCTTGCCTGTAATCTTGAATGTGTATTAAGTACTAACCTCAGCAGCCACCCCCCATTTATCTCTATTTTTATGCTTTAAGTTTTAATTTAAGATAGGTAGATTTGGACTGTAGAGCTCCCGTGCAGGGGTTAAAATACATCTCCAGTGCTCTTTAGAAAGCAATGAGATGCATGTGGAAAAAAAAATCAGATGGGTCTGAAATGACTCCTATGTCAAGACTGTGATTTTTTTGAGAGGAAAGATGAACACAATTTGGGACGTTCCAAATTCAAGCAACAGCAAATGTACCTAAAAGGAATTTGAATATCACAATGCTCCTGTATAGGTTGATGGATGATGTGAAATATTGGACTCAGTGCTGATAGAACAAATCAACATGCAATTAACACCCCCATACTTTTCATTTTCAAAGCACTGAGAAAATCAATCATCAGTCATTGCTATGTGGTATACAGCTTGGTGTTTTTAATTATCTAATGCTCCTTCGAATTCCCATAAAAGTGAAGCACAACTGTTGCTTGGACTGCCTAATTGACTCTATTATATCTTCTTAACTGGTTAAACATTTAATCTGCTCATATCCTCTGAATAATCCTCAGTAGCAATCTGAAACGTGACAAGCTTCACTCACCCATCACGGCCAGAGCTGTGCCTTTAGCTAACTCCCTTTTCAGAGTCTCCAGCACGTCAAGCCCACTGCCATCCAGATTGCACCTGTTGATCGTACCATTGGCCGAGCTTATCCAGTAAAGCTTGCTGGCAGCATAGTCTATTGAGAGACCTGGGAAGAAGACAAGTGGAGAGAGCACAGAAAGATTAGCATTTGGTATGCTAGTATTTGCTGGGACTTGACATAAATATTTTCACTTTACAATAAGGCACACAAAATTTGATTAACTACTAGGAAACACATCAGGAACGTATCAAGAACTTAATGGAGTTCACCAGTACTTACTGGGGAACACAAAGCCAAGCCTTATTAGGAGACGACTAGTTAGTTGCTTTGTAAATGAAGAGGAACTAATCAAGAACTAATGGGTAGTTACCAAGGAAACCAAAGAGGAACAAATCGGGAGCTAATGTGTAGTTCATCAGTACATATTGGGGAACATACAGCCAAGCCTTATTAGGGGACTACTAGTTTGTTACCACAGAAACAGAGGAGGAATTCTCCATGTGAGTTCTGAATAAACCCTGCACCAGTCAGGTCACAGCTCAAAAACGTGTTTCCTAGTTACTGATTTTATTGGATTTTCTCTTTTGTAAACCTATTGATGAAATAGATTAGCAGTTTCATCACCTTGTACTGGTGTCACTTTAACTACGTCTGACTATCACTTACTGTGTACCAAATCATTGCCTGGCTATTACTTTGTTCACTGATGTAGTGAAGCATACTTACTGAAGAACAAATCATTACTTAATCACTACCTGGCCATTACCAACTGGTTTATTCCTGTGGTAACAAACCAGAAGTCCCCTAATAAGGCTTGTCTGTATGCTCCCCAGTAAGTACTGATTAACTACCCATTACCTCCTGATTTGTTCCTGATTCGTTCCTGAGGCATTCCCTAGCAGTTAATCAAAGTTTTTGTACCTTATTGTAAAGTGTTACCAAATATATATTAAAACATAAATAAATACAATGAACACCAAAAATACAGGTTTAACTTGTTACATAATATGCAGGGCTTAATTTGTGCCAGATCCTGCCGGAACAGGATACAGTAACTCACTTATTTTAACAGGGTGTGTTCAGGTAGCTGTTTGCTTGGATCCTGTAGCGCTCAGGCTTACTAATAATACAGTTATGTAAGGAAGCTTAGTTCTCAAACATTAGATTCACCAAAATATGAAATAAATGTGGAATAAATATGTAATATGTAATGAAACAAATGGGCCAGTAAAATATGTTTTTTTTTTTTTTTTGCACGAGTCGGATCCTCAATACCACCTGTCAATCAATCCAGTAGGCATGTCAGCATCTGACCAATCGGCAATCTCAATTTGTCCTCAAGTGAAACACCCCTTTCCTGCAGGAGCTGGAAGGGTGGGGGCATGTTAGGATGAGTGAGAGAAGCAGAGTGCGCTAAACAGCTAGGTAAGAAAATATTATGTGTTTAAAAGGTTACACTTATAAATCACACATAACATGTTTAAAAGTAAATTATGAATATGAATTAGTCTGGTATTTTGACATTTGTGTACCTAAGCGTTGTGTTGCATTGTGTGTGCACTCCGGTATCAGTGTTGGCTTCACTGAACCTCAGTTTCACACCACTATTTGCGTTTCGGCATTGTTTGGTTTACAAATTAAGCACTGATCACATGTAACATTTTAAGATGAAAAACAACGATGACTATTAAAACAATAATCCTAAAACAGTATGCATTATATTTATCTGAATACCCACAGATCCTGAAAGTAAATTTACCCAAGTAGCATCACTATAGCATATTTCAGAGCTGCAATAACTTCACTGTTTACACTCTGTTGTCCCTATGCACTTGGTTAAAAAAAAAAGTGTGTGTTATCTCATTCATCTTTGTAGATCACTTAAAAAGAGCTCCAGCCAGCATGCAAAAATGAACAAGAATGGAATGTGACTGTTTTTTCACTAGAAAGCTGGTGGATTTTATTGTTTTATTTTTTTTCAAAAAGAACATCCCTGTTAATATTTGGAGCTTAAAGAAATTTCAATTGTGTACCTCTGGACATCTCACTGTCTCCTACCATGTGTTGGATTTATGTCTGGCAGATTCACAGTCACAATGCATCATTAATTTACTCTTGTCCCCAAGTCTACCCCATAATCATAAATGAAACCAGTGAAATACAGAGCACCCTGCTATCTGTAGCGCTGACAGGCCTACGAGGATGAAGAATTGCAGCAGAGACAAAGCTGCTATCTGTGACAAATGGAAAGTTTGACCTTGAGCTATGTGTAACAACAGTTACTACAGATGACGACCGGATGGTTGTTTTTGCTAAATCGAGACACAATTGCAGCTCATTTAACCATGAATTATGTTTGGTAAAATATTTAACTGACAGACCTGCAATTAAAAAAATAAAGTTTCAGTAGAATGAAAGCAATTTTATTGAAGTAAAATATAAACTACATTCATCAAACGCAGAACTGTTTTTTTTTTGTGTGTGTTTTTTTTTTTTTTTGTACAAAGCTGACACAGACCTACTGGATCCCTCTGATTCTGATGAAGGACTTTGCTGTTACTCCCGTCCATGTTGGCCATGTTAATGGTGTTGCCATCTGTCCAATAGATTTTCCTGTTTGGGAATGTATACGTAGGAGTATAACGTTACTGCAACAGCACAATATAGTTATTCTTCTTCTTTAGGTACACGATAATGAGAAGTTCAATAAAAATCAATGACTGTTAAAGAACATTTTAGACCAGTAAATTAAGTCTGTCAGTTTAGTTATATTAGAAACCCCTTTTTCAAACATTTTGAGAGTTTACAACAATTTATTTCCTTTGATCCCCCTTTTGCACAGCTTAACATTTCCTAATGCTATACACTGAAGGTTATGCACTCATGAAACGCACAGGCTACTCTAATCTACTTACCCTTTGGCAGGATGCACTACGAGACACCTTGGCTTATCAATGCCGTGGATGATGGACGTCTTTAGGGACCCATCAAAGCGAGCCACATTGATTTGGGACTCATCGTTTTCAGAGCTGAGCCAGTACAAGTTCCTGGAAAGCCAGTCTAAAGCCAGACCCCGACAGTTCACAATGTCTGTAAGGAAGAACATGCAAAAGCTTTCACACCTACATATTGTGTTATACAGCACTATAATTACCTAGCATACATAGCTATACCTGTCAATGTACAAGGAATACAAACAAAAACAATATGGATTCTCAATAAGCTTTGTAAGCTGTGTCTAATGATTTTTTTTTTATGTTGTCCCTTCCAAAGATTTCCAAAAAAGGTAAACAGCAACCATCATTAGTAAATGGTATGTACTTATAAAGCTCCTTTCTATCATATGAAGATGCTCAAAGCTCTTTACAACACAATCTGTGCCCTCATCTACCCATCCATACAGCACTCTACTAGATATATACAATGAATCAGTGCTTTATATCACATTTGTACACTGATGAGCCACACAGAAGCAATGAGGGGTCTTGCCCAGGGAAACTTAGGCATGTGACTGCTGGTGGAATGGAACCCCCAACTATTGCACTGGAGGACGACTGTGCTACCCACTCAGCCACAGCCACCTTAATCAGTAACCATAGTACAAATCAATAAACCCTCTATAAAAAAAAATAAAATAAATTGTGTTAGTAACTTTGAGGGACCATCACCACCACCACATTTTTTTTTTTTTTTTTTGGAAGATAACTTTTCCATGAAGTTCTGTATTCAAAAGTTCCTCAAAATAAGATTCTATGTGTCAGCCTGGAAGGACCCACCTGAAGAAATGACAGTCTCTAGCTGTGTGCCATTGATGAACACCCGTTTGATGGTTTGCGTTTTGATGTCAGCCCAGTAGATCCTCTCCTCCTGAGAATCAAAGTCCACTACGGTGACATCGTCAATGTCTGGCACTGTGAGCGCAGTCATGACATTCATGTAAGGGTTGTCAATGTCCACACCACGGATTTCAGAGCGCCGCACATAAAGCAGGAACCTTTTTAATGCTGGTGAGATAATGGCGCAATCAGTCATTTGAGGTGAAGCCATTCTGTTGATACTTTATTTAAAATGCAAATGAAAGTAATAAATCGACAGGCTGAAACTTACATTGCTTACAAAACAGGACGGTACTTTAGAAAAATATATGCCTCTTGTGTTGCTCACAAAGAATTCTATATTTTTACTCTCATAACATAAAGCAACTGTGAAAAATGAGGGAGGTGTTCTCACTCACCAAAGCAGGATTGTTTGTTTGCTGAAAGCTTCATGAGGTGTGGACAGGTGCAGGACACAGTGCGGTTGTAATTGATGAGACACAGATGTGAACAGTGCCCACGTCCATCATTCTCTTCACATGGGTTAGACACTGATGGGAGAGGAGGATAGAAAGAAAGCATTTGAAGTAAACATATTAATTAATTAATAGTAAAAATCAAACAAAAACAAAAACTGGGGGATTGCCTTGGATAATTGTTGGAACGGAAGAAATCTACAAGCTTTTCCAACATGAAATGTACAGGCTGGTCTGACTGCGTAGCAGTAAAAAAGACAAATTGAGTGACGTTGTACATTACATTGCTTGTGTTTAGTTATTTATTTTAACAGCAAATATTATTTATATTATTCTTTTTACCAAAAAGTTTGTCTTCAAAAAGTAAAATCAAATTAAACTTTTTCATGATGTATTCAGCTCTCTTTTTAAATACATATTAAAACATGTAAAAACATTAGAAATGCAGTGCATAAAATGATTTTGTAAGATCTTCAGTCTTGTTTTCCAGGATAGGATTTTAGTAAAAAAAATTAAAATAAATAAAAATAAAAAATCCTGCCTAATTTTGTGCAAAAGAAAATTGCCCATATTCCCTAAAAAAAACTATAACTTAAAGAACATAATCATCATCATCATACTTATAAAATTAAAAGAATCATTATTTATGTTTCCATGTTTCCAAAATAAAAGTAGAATATGTGACTGTGAGCTGCAGGCAGTGTCTTCAAGACTTCCACATCAAATTAAACCAGGCAGTGTCCTCACAGCAATGTATTTTGGGATTTAGGATTATTTCTATGTCACAGCATTTCTTACTGTACTTGTTAAGAATAAATCACCCCAGCCAGACAAGAAAAAGTCACCTACAATTTAATAGCTCCCCATCATTCTGAAGTCACATTTCACGCTTCAAAAACAACAATTTCTTCTTCCTCTCCAAATGATTCGTGCCAAATAAGCTCTTTCAAAGTTCATTTCCAAAGATTCTTCAGTAATAATCCCACTGCATCATAAATGTGACTGATCTGAGACAAAAAAAAAAAAAAGCAGCTCTGGTTCTGCGGGCTCAAAACAGCACCCAGCTGACTCAGTGTGCTAATAGGCAACAATCTGAACTCCTCTACACTGACTAGAATAACACTCAGGAGGGATGACAGGCAGCGCAGAAGAGGACCAAGGTGTTTGTTTACTTGAAACTGTCAAATATATTTGCAGCAATTGGAAAACACGGATAAAACAAACCTACTATAATAGCAGAAGTACTGTATAAAATTCAGGTTATTTATTTGAACCTGACACAAAGTGCAGAACAATGTGTTTAATGTGTCTCCCAATACTGAAAAGCAAAACTAAAAATATAAATGATAAAAAAGTTCCTATTGTCAATGCCAATATATTGATTATTGCTGGAACTGAGGCTGTTTCCGAATTGTCTAAAAGGGGAAATATACTGCTTGTTATTTTCAAATGTCTAAAACAATGTTTTATACCACTCTAATTTCAAATTATGTGAGAAACACCAGATTTTAGATTTGCCAAAGTACTCCCTGACTTAAAAAAAAACTTTTAAAATGAAACCAAGTATTTCTTGAATAAATGCATCTCACCCACTTTTAACACAAACTAAAAAAAATAAATAATAATAATAAAAAAAAAAAAAGTGTTACTGTTCTGACTATGATATGAGGATGACTCTAAACTTCCACACAAAATGTATCTGTAAAATGGACAGTTATAACAATTATTGTGATTGCAAAGATATATTAGCTGTGGTAGAGCTATTGGACTAGGATGACTGAAAAAGTCCTTGTCAAAATGTTAAATAAAAATGTTGCATGATGATCATGTGCTGAGGATGACTCCCAGCTACTACCACCCCAAATTTTAGATCAATATATGTAACATGACTTAGTTAAAAACATTTTTTGCGCTTTTTAAGGTTGATTACCTGAGATGCACATCTTGAATTCAGTTAAATTCAAATGTTAATAACTTTCTAAAAGTTTCATTTAACCATTTCTGTGATTTATGGGTTATTTTCTTACAAAACAGTGAAACATGCATACAAACCCCTTCTTTTAAATATCTCTTAGTACAATCAACTACTTTGGGTTTCTATTATTTATATAACTATTATATTTAGTTCATTCCCCACCTACATGATTACTGGTTATGATTAATCAACTCTTTCCATCTGATCAATCTTTTCAGATCATCACACATTCACTGCCTTTTTGTAATGCAGTCTTATTAATTCAGACCTATATGGTGAATAGGCTGTAGGCTGCACAGCTGCAGAAAGAAAAGCTTTGCAGAGAGTGGTGAAAGCTGCACAGAAGTCTGTTGGGAGTCAGTCTCCCCATCATCACAGACATCTACACCTCTAGATGCAGAAAAAGGGCCACCTGCATCATGAAGGACCTCACTCACCCAGCACTCACACTTTTTACCCTGCTCCCCTGAGGAGGAGGTTAGGAGCATTAAGTGTAGAACCACCAGATTGAGGAACAGCTTCTACCCTGAGGCTGTTAGACTCATGAATCTCTAACCAGGATAATCATTGTGAAAAATCACATCTTGTTGCTGCTGATCGATTTCATGTTACTGTGTTCATTTGTACTCATCTGCTCACACAGACTCATGTTCGTGCTGCTGTTCAGCATATTGCTTTTATGCTATTAGTGCTTATTGTATTTTTAGTAAACTTTTTTCTTAGTTTATATCTTAGAACTTATTACTGTTTATCGTTTTACATTTTATTATTGGATGCAACTGGGACCCTGTGTACACAATTTCATTCCACCACATGTACCACATGTGGTGTGAATGACAAATAAAGAAACTCTGACTCTGCATAATCAAGGGAGATTATATACAGAAGGAAAACGAGTAAATTACCAGATTCACAATGGTGCATCATCGTCACAGAACAGATGTAACCCTGATTACAACTAATGTTCATTTATGAATGGTAGCTCACTTCTGCAGCAGGGTGAGGGAGATAATGTCAAAACTTGGCAAGGCAGAGAAAAGCGACTGGGATAGAGATACATAAATTATGGACTCTTGGCACACACATTTTTTATTGCTAGTACACAAGCGTTCTATACTAATGGATTTGTTTTCGAAAATAATCAAAAACAGTTTTGAACAATCTATCTCGGGAGGGGGAAAAATAAATCTATGAAACGTGTTTACCGGTAATTCTAACTTGGCATTGTGTTGGAACATAATGTGCACAAACTGGTAAACATTAGATGTGTCCAGTCTGAAGGAATATGAGCCGTTGATCTTTTGTGGCTAGAATCATAGTATATAGAGCACATAAAATAGTTACTATGATATCAAAATAAGATAAATAAATTAAAACATCCAGATGAAAAGTTGCTTAAAAACAGGTTCATGCATTATGTGCAATTGCACCACATTCATTTCATTAGGAACCTATTGGTAAAATAAATATTCCACTTATTTGTTATTACAAGTTGAACCCCAACTCTCATTATCAGCACATACAAAGGAACTGAAAATCCTCAAAGTGGTGGTGTGAACCAATTACAATCATTTGGATATTAGGGAAAAACTCATTGACAGATAGTGTTAACTTAATTTGGCTTAGTTTAATCATGAGAACCTGATTTCCCCCCAACATGTCCATGCTGATTGACTGACAGCACACATTAATTGTGTCCTGTTTCCTTTTGGACAATTTTTGTTACAGACTGTTATAAAAAAAATAAATAAATAAAAAAAGAGATCTATACTAAATAACACATGGACATTTCTCACCTTGTGGCTGTCTACTAGGATGGAAAATCTGCAAGTCAAAAGGTTGGGCACTTGTCTTCTGGATGACTGTGACATTTTGCCCCGTCCACTTATTGGCTCTCGCTAAAGTGTTTGTCCTCCAATCTGTCCAGTAGACATTCCCTCCAAAAAGTGACACAGCAAAGGGATGGGACAAGTATTCGTGGCCCCTAAGGATCTCAATTACCCCACTACCATCGTAGAGTGCGGAGAAAATGGCGTCGGAGCTGTTAAAAATAAAAATAAATTAAACAAGCATCAAAGATTCAGCTACCTCCTTAATATAGCGAAATAAAAAAGTGAAAAATCAAAGGGGAAATTTGCAATTAAATGACTGAAGTATTACATTGTCCAAGACCCATTTCACACAACTGGTGGCATTTTTAGGTCTCTAAATATTACATTTCATGCATAATTTAATGTTCACCAGATGGGGTTGACTGCTGAATCTTCTGCAGTATTTAATGTCATACATATGTTAACAAGTGCAAATAGCTACAATTACCAACCGTGCATCTGTCCAAACAATCCTCCTTTCCAGATGATCCAGCGTTAACCCGTTAGGCCAGGCCCCAATCTCCATATCCTTAAAGACGATGTGTCTTCCATCGCCACTCATGGATGCAGCCTCAATTCTTGGAAAAGTAGCGTCCCAGTCAGTCCAGAAGACAATCCTTAAAGACGAAACCAAAAAAAGGTAATTAGCATTGATCAGCATGGTTCTCTCAGCAAAATCAACATGATATTCAACACAATTAAATGTCATAAAATCTGGTCTGTTAAAGGTAAAACATTTGAAAAACACATATTATGCATATGTTGTATATGTGTGCGATAAAAAGTGCAGGTGACTGTTTAAGAACTGCATCAGTCTTTCAGTGAAACTTAACATCTGTGACAGCCCTGGAAATAGAAGCCCATCAGTTATAGCATGACTTTAACAGCTCAAAAAAATAAAATGTCCACCATTACTGATGTGACCATCAAATGTAGGCACCTTTACAATAGAAAATGTGGAAAATTACTTTCATTTTAGTTAATGAAAAACAAGTTTTCTTCAAAAAATGTAGCAAACATTAAGAGACCACATGAATGTAATTGCATTGTGGCACTACACTCCAATTACTTCTATATTGTATTTTTAGTTTCTGGGATTCAGCAACAACTAACTTGGCTGGTCTTTCCATGATGAGTTAGATAAGTTAAATATGGAAATGTGACATTCACAAATATAGCTGTCATGTTGCCAAAGTCTTCTGCAAAATACCTTCAAATTTCAAAGTTTTCAACCTTGCAAAGTTTCCTCACCATTTTCCAGAGAAAAAACAGAGCCTGACTGTTTTGACAGTGTGTTGGATCTTACACCGAGAATATTGCCTCTGTCCAGTCGTAGTTCACTAAGTCATCTTGAATGAACAAGAAAACGGGTGCTCCAATTTAAATCACATACTGATGACAACAAAGCTGCGTTAGGAAGAAATATCCTTGTCTAGATCGATAGCCGTATTCACTTGATAAGGCCTCCGTGATCAATGACCCACTCCTTTGAGTGGATTCAAGTAATAAGATTAGAATTATTGCCCTGTAATGGAAATGCGCCTTTAGGCACCAAAAGCACCCATTAATCCTACTCTGCACAGCCATGAATTGTACTGTAGTCCTCTCCCCAAATGTGAAAGAGTACAATGGAGAGAGTCTTGCAGCATATAACTCATTTCTTAAATGTGTTAAATTGATTTTTGGAATGTCTAGGTTTTGCCAAAGTATTCAACCATCGGCTATTTCTCAGACACTTCAAGCTAAAATAACAGCCAAATGGCTGTATATACTGGCAACACTTTAACAGCAACATAAAACAATTTAATGTCTGGAGTGTTCTCACAACAATATGATCTAACGCTGATGAAGCTATTTCAAGTACATATAACTTTTAATTACTCTTTGACCAAAGTGTGAGTGTGCTGTATCTGTATTACTAATGCATGTTTGTTAAATATGTCCTGAGTAATTATGAACTGTGTTGCAATATTTAAAGTCCAGTCTCTTACTTCATAACATCAAGTCAAGTCAAGTCATCTTTATTTGTAGAGCACAATTTAAAACAGATAAACTGTTATCAAAGTGCTTAACAGAAATGTAGCAAAACATAGGCAGCAAAACAAAAACATCATACAGAATTAAAATTACTGGAGCAATAACACACACTAATGATCACACTAAGGAAAAACAAGCAGTAAAAATAAACGTCAATCATAAAACAACAGAATTTAAAATGAGGTAACACAGAACAAAATAAACTAACTCACACAGTATTAAACGCCAGAGCAAACAGGTGCGTTTTAAGGAGGGATTTGAACATCAGGAGGGAGGAGGCCTGCCTGATGTTGAGGGGCAAGTTGTTCCACAGGTTGGGACCTCTGACTGAAAAAGCTCGATCCCCTCGGAGCTTCAGGCGTGATTTTGGAACGACCAAAAGAAGCTGGTCCGATGATCTCAGGGCCCGAGACGGAACATATGGTTCCAGGAGCTCGGAGAGGTAGAGGGGTGCGAGGCCATTTAGGCACTTATATGTCAGGAGGAGAATCTTGAAGTCGATTCTGGATTGCACAGGAAGCCAGTGAAGGGAGGACAGAACAGGTGTGATGTGCTCAGACCTACGTGTACCAGTTAAAAGCCGAGCAGCTGCATTTTGGACGAGCTGGAGACGTGAAATGGATGCCTGACTGACCCCAGCATAAAGTGAGTTACAATAGTCCAGGCGGGTTGTGATCAAGGCATGGACTAATGTTTCAAGGTTGGGTCTGGATAACACTGGCTTGAGCTTAGCTACCTGCCGCAGTTGGAAAAAACTTTTCTGCAGAACTGAACTGATCTGTTTGTCAAACTTGAAATCCGAGTCAAAGACCACCCCGAGATTTCTAACATTGTGCTTGAGATAGGGCTGAAGTGAGTCCAGGTTTGCAGGATCTGAGGAGGCAGCTGAGCTAGGACTAAAGACGATGACTTCAGTTTTCTGGTCGTTAAAACTGAGAAAATTTGAAGTCATCCATGCCTTAATGTCATCTAGACATTTGAGGAGAGGGTGGATGGAACGAGCACTGGCTGGTTTCAGTGGCAGGTAGATCTGGCAGTCATCGGCATAACAATGGAATGAGATGGCATGTTTTCTTAAGATGGATCCCAGTGGGAGCAGATAGAGCGAGAAGAGAAGGGGTCCAAGGATCGAGCCCTGTGGGACCCCGCAGGAAAGAGGGACCGAAGTGGACAGACTTTCACCAACCTTGACACAAAAAGTCCTGTCAGAGAGGTAAGAACGGAACCAGTCTAAAGCAGCTCCTGTGTGGGAATGGGAAAAACATGTGGGAATGGGAGTCACACCACATGAATACATGTATATGGGTTAATTGATGCTAAGCATCCATTAAAAATAAGAAAAAATAAAATAAAATCAAGAGCACTTTTTTCTTTCTTTTTTTTTTTTTTACTTGTCTTGATGAGTTTAGAACTAATGAGGAGGGAATTCATTTTAAAAGAAAAAAAATAAAAAGAGGCAGAATATTATACATCATTATTATTATCATCACGAAGCACTGTACATATTGCGCATATATATTATATATAACATATTATAATGTATATACATTACGTTTTACATATTTCAGTATAGGAGCTCTGGTCACACTGCTGCATAGTTACAAAACAAATCACAATCACAGAAAAAAAAAGAAAAAAAAAGAAAGTTAATTGCCAAAGTAATGACTTTATTAAAGTTAAAATGTTATTTGAGATTCCGATTGCACTCCTGTGACAGCAACTAAAACTAAATATTCACAATAACATCTGAGCCCATGAAAAGAATGATTCCAACTCTGTGTGTATGGTCCATTTCTTGTAGTTTTGTTAGAATATACACATAATTGTTTGGCAGAGGTGGAAAGAGTACTGAGAATGTGCACTCAAGTACAAGTACTGTTACACAGCTTCAATTGTACTCAATTACAAATAAAAGTACTCGTGTTATAAAATACTTTAATACTTAATAAAGTATAGAAAAATGTATTTATTTTGTAAACAAATGTAGATAAAGCAGGAATTTTGTTTGATAAAAGAAAGACAAAAATGTTTTTGAACCGACATAAAACAGTTTAAACTTTTCCAAATACGCTGCCAACAACAGGCAGGTAACTGTCTCCAACTCTGACATTTCTGTCACCCTTCACTTTCTGAACCTTTCGGTCAGTGTCAGCAGGAGCTGGTTTTCCAAGTTAACAGAATCTATCCAGCTTTGTTTGGCTGTGAAGAGTAGACTAAATGATTCTCTACTCTACGGAGTTGTCCTTTGCTTACGCCATAGATAATTGGCGTGTTCGTACTGAGAGCCTTATTGGCTACAAAGAATGTAGAAGAATGGTTTGAATATTAATTCACATTGTGGTCCTACTCTGTAGCGACTTCTGATTTTAAAATTAGCAAAGCAGATTACATGGTCTAAATTGTACTCAAGTTTGAGTAAAAATACACACTTGAAATAACTACTCATAAAAGTACAAGTACCCAAAAAATCTAGTTAATTACAGTAACATGAGTATTTGCAATTCATTACTTCCACCCCTGCTATTTGCAAACCCTGAACTACGAGTGTTTAGCTATGACAGTGTTTATAGTGTCACAGCGTATGGTCTTAGTCTACTTCTATTTCATTTGAATTTAAATTATTGTTGATATACATACTGTTATTTTTGTTTGTTTGCAATAAAAACTAACTGGGGCAGCTGTGGCTGAGTGGTTAGAGCAGTTATTCTCCAATGCAAGAGTTGGGAGTTCAATTCCACCAGCAGTCACAAGCCCAAGTGTCCCTGGTCAAAACACTGAACCCCTCATTGTCTCCAATGTGTGTCCCATCGGTGTATGAATGTGATAAAGCTCTGATTAATCATGTGTAGATATAGTAGAGTGCTGTATGAATGGGTAAATGAGGGCACATATTGTAGTGTAAAGCTCTTTGAGTGTCTTAATAAGATAGAAAGGCACTATATTTACCATTCAAAAGAATTATGTTTTTATCAGAGTAGCAAAAGAAAAAAAAAAGCTTGCATTTCAGAAACATGTCATTCTACACATATTATTTCCATGCACCTCACATGGTAAACATGAGGATAATAATAATAATAATAATAATAATAATAATAATAATAATAATAAT